TTTTTATTATTAATAAAATTTTAATATTTAATAAATTTAATAAATAAAATATATCAATTTTATATGCTTATTTGACTGAATTGATATCAAATTTAGACCAATTTTAAGTTGATTTATAGTTATTTAAATTCTGAATTGATGCTAAATGACATTGTATTAAGGTTAATTTTAGGCTAATTTATAGTTATTTAAGTTATAAATTGATATTAAATAATGCTGAATTAAGATCAATTTTAGACCTGATTTATGATTATTTAAGTTCTGAATTAATATTAAATTGATGCCAAATTGAGGTCAATTTTAGGCTAATTTATGATTGTTTAAGTTTTGAATTAATGCTGAATAATGCTGAATTAAGGTTTAATCTAAATATAATTAAAATATTTATTTAATTAATAAAATTAACTATAAATAAAAAAAATTTGTAAATACTATTATAAAAACTTTATTAATATTATAAAGATTAATTTTAATAAAATTTAAAAAATATATAGTTTTAAATTTATTTAAATTACTTAAAATTATTTATTAATTTGATTAAAATATATAAATTATATTTATTATATTAAAAAAATTAATTAAAAATATTATAAAATATTATATAAAGTTATACAGTAGCGGTCATAAGTATCTGATCCCTTATAATTCTTAAAGTTAATTAATAATACCCATTAAAATTTTCTAAAATTCAAATATAATACCAATGTTAATCTTATATAAAATTGTAAGTTTATATAACAAATAAATCAATAATTAGATAATTGATGAATTTTACATGTAAAATGCTGATATTTTTTAATAAATTAAACAAAATAGTTTTTTTTATATAAATTTCAATAATTATTGAAATAGAATTTCAAAAAAATATAGCTACTTTATATCTATTATAATAAATTATAATGTTTATTATATTTAACAATATTATTTAAATAAAAATTTTAGTAATAAATAAAAGTTATAATATTTGCTAAAAAGTTCATATTATAGTGATTTTTTAAATTGCGATTTGATAAATCAATTTCTTTCAGCAAAAATCTAATGTTAATTTTATATATAATTTCTATTAAAGTGACTTTTTGGCTTATATCTGTGAATTTTTAGAAAAGATAACTTAGAGTAAATTTAGCAAAAAGTTAATAAATACAAATATTATTTAAAAATTAAAAGAAAAAATACAGTATTATAGAAATTCTCTAACTATCTGTGTAATTTATCTAAAATTCTATAAAAAATGTGTAATAATTCCTAAAAAATTAATATATTGAAAAAAATCTATATATTTAAGGAATTTAAACATTAAATAATAAAAAATTTTATTATATTTCCTTATAAAATCACACTATGTATATTTTTATATTTATTGAATAGCTTTATTAGTAATATATATAATAATTAAATTTTACTATATTACACAAACATATTATTATTATTAATTTTTCATACTATTAAAATTAAATAAATAATTATGAAAAGTAACTTTAGTATCATTTTGTTTAAAAAGATCTTGAAAACTCTCAAAATCAACATTTAAGTTAGAAATATTTTTATCTTCTTGAAATGGCATTTTCACTTTATTATCATTTTTTATGTTAATTTGTTACAAAAAATTATTTTCTACCAAGAATTTAGATCAAAATAAGTATTTTAAATAATTAAAACATAATATTAATGAATAATATAACACCTTTAACAACTTGCAATGCAGTATGAAAGTTAGGTGTTGAAATTATATCAGGTATTTTACTACTATTCTGCTTATATTCATTACTTGCAAATTGGATTTGTTCATCATTGATCATTGAAGTAATACTACATGACATTAAAGTATTTTGATCTGTATATAAAAATAAATTAATATAATAATATATAATTATTTTATATAAAAACTTGATAACTAATCATATCAGATGTAAAAATAGCATCAACTAATCCATTTAATGAAACATTTTGAAGTTTTTCATTTGATTATTCATATGATTTTAATCCACTTATAGATTTATGTCAGGATACAGATATAACTTCAATATCTGTAAAATTTAACTCTTTTAATAAAGAAACTAAGGATTTACATCTAGAATGATTAGTAATTTTTCTACCTTTAACAGAAATTTCACATTCAACTACAAAATTATGAAGGAATCCTTGTAATCAAAGTTTTCCTATTTGATTTTTCAAATACCATCTACTTTTATAAATATATAATAATAAAATATAACAGTTAAATTAATAAATGATATCATTATTAAATTTTTGAAATTACATATATTATTTACCATTTTCATTAATTATTTTCTGTAAATAAAAATTTTCCTTTACATCAATAGGACGTTTGATAAAAAATAAATCATAATTTGCAATAATACTTAGATGATTTAGATTTTGTAATTTATCATCAGAACTATTATTTGGATCTTTAATATCTCCTTATTTTGTTTTTGATCAAATAATATTTACATCATAACCTCCATCATATTTTTTATGAAAATGGTTAAATTTTAATTTATAATACTCTCCACCACGAAGACCAAGAAAAATTATATTATAAAAAAAGATTCTTTTTAAAAGTCCTAATGGAGTTTCTTAAATAAGTATAGGAGATTACAAAATCTGTTGACATTTCTCAATAGTAAGAGCTAAAGATCCCTTTTTTATGCCTTTACCAACTTCAGCTAATTCTTTTAATTTACTATCAAGTATCAAATGTAAATCAGGAAATTGCTTTTAATCAAGTAAATTAACTAGTCGTAGTGGGGAATACATATTTAGATGTTGATTTAATGCATGTATTGCATTAATAATAGATGATATTAAATATTCTTCTCCATTTTGTTATTTTATTACTGTAACATAATCAGATATCTATTTTTCTAAGTCTTTTAAGTTAGTGATATTCTTACAAATATTAACCAGTCTAACTGTTTTATGATAACTTTCAAATTTTTTAAGCCAGCTATTTGTTGATAAATGAGTATTTTCAACAATGTACTTTTGTTTAAAATATTCTTTTTGTTTCTTTGTAGGTTTAGTATAAATAATCAAAGAAGATAACAATAATATAAAATAAATAACTACAAATACATGATATAATTTAAAAACATGTAAAACAGTCAATACTGACCTTATTTTTTCACAGAACTTTCATATTAAAATTTGAAAAGAAAAAGTGTATTGTAGAAAAAAAAAATTAAATTATTAAAATTGACTAGAAATAAACTCATTTTATAGTGTAATCGTACAAGTTTATATAATAAAATACTTATTGTATAAATCTTTAAACAATACCTTCCTATTTTCGATTTCAGTAATTTGATTGCCAAATTGCACTACTTATGTGATACAATCTGAGCTTATCAAATAACTTCAATTGAAAATAACACGTTATTGTCTAAATACTATACAATAAGTATATAAAATTATTTACATAAAAAAAGGTCATTTTTTAAAGTATAAATTTACCAGTTATCTAACTTCTAAATTATATATAATACAAATCTATAATTTTACAGATTATTAAGGTTAGTATTGAACTTAAATTTAAAAAAAATTTAATAGATATTATTAATTAACTTTAAGAATTATGAGAGGTCAGATACTTATGATCGCTACTGTATTTGAATTTAATAATCTACTATCAAATATTATTATAAATTTTAGTTTATAATATATTAAATAACTTTTTTAATTATTAAAAGTATAACTTTTAATAAATTGATAAATAATATCTTTAATAATTAAAATAATTTAAAATTTTTTTATTATTATTAAATTTTTATTTATAAATTAATAAAATTGATTTAATAATAAATTTAAGTGATAGTTATTCATATTCCTACTTTTATTATTCATATTCTCTATAATAAAATTATTATACAATTAGTCAATTTATCATCATATTATAATTTAATAAATTTTACTGTGCCATTCAGAAAAAATGACAGAATAATAATAATGCAATTAGAATTGTTCCTATAAAATTTTATATTAACAGAATTAAATATTTTATTTTTATTCTATAATTAGATATATTTTAATGCTTATATTTTTATAAGTGAATATATTATTATTCTTTAAGAAGACAGAATATAAAAATGTAAAACATATAATTATATTAATTTCTATTTAGTTGACAAGAATGAGAATTATATTCAAGCTGATAGCAAAGAATACATTTTCTTACTCTTTGATCTGTTAATTCAAATCCAGAAGAATCTTTTCTAGTTGAATTAGTTAATCATTTATTGATGGCACTAGATGAATATCCTTTTGTAAGAATAACATTAGGATTTTGCAAGACTATCAATAGAGAATTAATCATCTCATCCAATATTATATGTACTATTATTTGCTGAAATTTTGGCTATTTTTGATATTTATATTGCAAATTCTGCAAGCAAGATTGCAGAGTATTTTTATGAGAAAAGGCATTTTTATCAGTTTGTATCACTGAAAAACATTCTTAGATCTACCAATGTTTATGAATATCGTCAAGGATTAGATCTTGATTATTATCTAAATGTTAAATACTATGAATACATGGTAAACTTATTATTCTTGAAAAGGTTTCATTATATGATAGCAAGGGTTTTTTGTAGTTTTATAAGTTGCCTTCTAATATTGCTTATTTATTTTTTTAAGAGCAAATATTGAAATTTTACCTTTAATATTTGCATATAATAGATTATTATGTGTAAAAATTAGAAGATGAATATGATCTAATGCAACTATACTATTAATCTCTTTTTTTTAATTTGTTATTATTAATGTGATTGCTATTTGAATTCAGTAGAGATTCCTTGTTGATACTTGCAAGTTAGTTTTAAGAGTTAAGTATATACCTTCAATATAGGAAGTTATAGTAGTCCTTAAATGAAAAAATTAATTTGTCCATATATTTACGAATTTTTTCTTTTACAGAATCTATGTATTTTTAAATATATAATAATACGAGATTTATTAGCATAAGTAAAATGAAATAATTGCCATTTTTCATTAAATTCATCTTCTGATATTAATTGTATTATATCATTCAACTTTATAAGAAATAATTACCATTCATCATTTTTCTTATTTTCTATTTCTCTTAAGAATTGTGATTTACAATTTTTTAATATATTTTTGCTTATATGTCACAAACATAATAAATTTGCTGAATTTAGAAAAATTATCTCAAGATTTTTCATAAGAGCTAACTCTTAATCTGTTATAATAACATCAGGTTTTAATCTTTCATTAAATAATCGAGCAATATAAGTCAAGGTTTATTGATAATCTATTATTTCTTTACCTTTTATAAAAATAAAGCAAGAATAAAAAGTGGTATTGAAGTTAGTAATACTGATAATATTTAGTAAAGGCATTTTAAATTTGTTTGTTTTATAGGTACAATCCATAATTAATATAGAAGAATACTAATATACAGTGTGGAACAAAAAAATACCAGAATTTTTTAAATACACATTATGCAAAAACTAATAACACTAACTAAATAAAATTTATATATATTTGAAGCTAAAAACTAGCTAATTTTATTAATATTTTTTTAGAACAGAAT